GGGCCGAAGTTCGTCTACCCCTCGAAAAAACGTGTTCCGTGAAAAAGTCGTCAAAAGCCATGTATGCAGCAAAGACCATGGCAGGAGAAACTACAACCCATCCTAGTTTTGAGCCGCTCGTGGCGCTTACTGGGATCGTCAGCCACGTTTGACCCCGAGGGGACGCGTGCGAACCAATACAGAGGGGGCTGTCCGCCCTCAGCGCCCTCTATGGAAAGCAGAACTTGTCGCCACTCTTGGACACCAGCAGTGCCTCGGACCAGAGTGTCCAAGGCAGGCCAATTGTCAACGAAGACAAGAACCCTTTGGCCGGTTAGACGGGGCATCCAAAGTTTTATGGCTACGGCTACAGCAAACAACTCGACAGCCCCGATGACATGCTCCTTATCACCCTTGAGCAATTCAAGCACGTTGCAAGGCAGAGTAGCCCCGAACACCTCGGCCGGCATCTGCCTACAAGATGGGTAGAGCACCCCTCCTATGGTAGCCTTACCCTCTTCGAGGGCGCCGTCAGTGAAGATCACCGCTGGAGGCACCGGGACCGATGCCTTGATTGACAGAGGGCGGCCGAGCTCAAAGCGTGCCTTCAACACCTCCAGATCGAGCTGCTAGCTGAGAACCGTCCAAGTTGACAGCGTGTCTGCCTGAGCCTCCAAGTGACCGAAGATCCCCAAGGGCAATTCGCCCCGCTCGCCCCCACACCTGTGAGTCGGCGTACTGTAGCTTGCCAATGAACCTAGGCACCTTCGCAGGAACCAGAGCCTTTAATGCCACCGCTGACTCAAGCAAGCCCCGTACTTCCTCGATACGGGATGGCTTGTTGGTGATACGGATTTCGCCTTCATGCGCAAGAGACAAGTCAAGCTTCACTCCCAAGACCTCACACGTCTGTTCAAAAGGAAGGAGTTTGTCTGCGGCAAATTCAAACCCGAAAAGAGTTAGCATCGCCTTTGCTGCGGACAAGCTTGACACCGAAGTGAGGCGGTGGGATGCAAGAGGGAA